AAATAAAAAAAATAAAAATAAAATAAAAATAAAAATAAAATAAAAATCCGTACGGACTCGCCGATTCACTGTTCGGACTTGCCGATCCCGTACAGTGAATTGGCGATTCACTGTACAGAATAGTCCTGTTCTCTCTAGAACCGGACGATTTCCGATTTTTTAGGCGATCCGGTCCCCTTTCACGATTTCCGAGTCGAAATGGGCGAGTCCGGTTCGACTCGACGTTTTTTAAAACGCTGGTTGCAACCTTATAGAAACTGCACCCACACTAAATTGTTTATTTTTTAAGTCTTTTTTAATATGCTAGATCTGGTTCAAATTTTGTAACGAAATGCATAAATGGATTTTCAGCGGTGTCTACACTGCACTTCAGGAGAAATATTTGCGGTATACTTTCCCTCAAATTTTGTGATACAGAAGAACTTTCGATGGCATTCTCTTGGATGAAAAAAAAAATTAAGGGAAAATTAAAAAAAACTGCAAGACTACACTATCTATACCACTTATGCCAACCTAATGTTTTCTCTCACTTTTTTTTCCAAAATATACTTTATATGTAAATACTCCCTCAACCAAAAATAAAATAAAAAAATGCCTAAACTACCCCCCTTACTTTTATCTTACGTACTCCTACCCCCCTTACTTTTATCTTACGTACTCCTCTCTCTCTCCTATCCCATCAAAATAGGAGCTTCGGTACTATGTAAGTACTCCTCTCTCTCTCCTATCCCACCAAAATAGGAGCTTCAGTACTATGTAAGTACGGTCCAGCAGTAGGGCTCCGGCACTGTGTAAAGTGCGGTCCAGTAGTATAAATTACTAGATTCCAAGGCTCTGGTACTATGTAAAGGGCGGTCCGATAGTTGTCTTAGGGCGGTCCGGCACTTATGCGCTCCAACAATGTGATAGTGTGCTCTGGCAATGTGATAGTGTGCTCCGGCAATGTGCTACTGGGGTTCAAAAATCAACGTCAAATCTGGCCAAAATGATTTTTGTGTACGAAAGAAATTGAACTTTTTCCCTTAGGGGTATCTGCATAGAAAGCTTGTTTATGGGGAAAAAGTGAGAGAAAAAATTAAGTTGGGGGTAAATTGCATAGAAAGTGTGATCTTGGAGTTTTTTAGTAATTTTTCCTAAAATTAAAGATAAGATCTTACACTCACTGTGGAGCTGATTTTTTTGTTCTAAAGAAGGAAGGTGGATGTTGTGAATTTGGCAAATATATTAAAGCAATTTTCTTTAAAGACTAGACCTGAAGGAGGATGGACTCCTCCATTGCCAGGATGTGTGTGTTGAAAATGTGGACTATCAGGCCCTTTACTCTTGAAAATTTATTTTTTCCATTAATAGTACAAAAATCATATTGAAGTATATGTGAAACCCCATGTGGTTAACATGAAGCAATGTCATATACTTGGATCCATTTTGAGCTTTAATAAGATGCTACACTAGATGGAAAACCCAATGTCATTGGAGGGAAAACCCAATAGTGTATTTGGTTTTCTTGTAAGAATTTGTTTTTATATTATATATACAAAGTTTATTTAGTTTCTAAATATCTTTGATCAAATTATGGGAATTCTTGGATGGCATCCTATTATGTGAGTCATTAATAGACTAATGATAAGTTTAACTCATTACATAGGATTAATAGTTTGATGACAACTTGTTAATCCTAATTGACCGCACTTAAAGGAATTAAAGTACGAGTTACACTTGGATATCAACTCCTATAGGCCATGAATGTGAGAGTTACAAAATAAATGTGTTTTCTATAAAAGGAGGTTAACCCCTCTAGAAAACATAGAGAAAATGATAGAAAAAATAGAGATGGAAGGTGAAAGAGATTTACCAAGAGGACTCTTAAGGTAGCCTGTCATCGGATGGTTTGGTCTATAGGCTTTGATATGGAACCTTAAGTCCCTTGTGTGATTTAAAGACAAATCCGAGTAAATTGTATATCGATTTTATTTATTTATTTTTTCTATTGGGACTAGCAGTGTGAAATTAACTTTTGATGGGAGCTAATTGGGGAATTAGGGACCAGCAAGAGTAGGTGGAGTGCAAAGGGATTTAGATTGGAATCATATTTTCTTTTATTATGGGCAATGTGGATGTGCTGCGGCAAATCAGGTAGAGCTTTCTTCTCTCTTGCAGGGTTTGATGATCCTTATCGATAGGCAGGTTCAACGAAATTTGGTAATGGAGGGAGACTCAAACAATGTCATAAGTTGGTGCAAAAATGAGCAGAGAGTACCTTGGAATCTCATATTAGCCTGAATGGAGATACTGGATATTTGCAACTAATTGGACATCCTTTTTATGCATGTCTAAAGAGAAGCTAATGATTTGGCAGATGGGGATTTGGGAGATGGGCTTGCCTAGAGGTGAGTTTCTTTGCTTTAGTTATCCATCACTGACAACTTGATTATTGTTATGCTTTTGTAATTGCATTTTAATTGTTCTTTGTTCAGTAAAATTTATAATATTGTTAAAAAAAAAAAACATAGGCCCTATATAAAAAAGAAATGTTTCTATATGACCCCAACAATATATAAGCTATATGTAATCCCACTTCTTAGCCATTCGATCTGAATCGAATAGCTACGATTGTTCATACCACAATGTCACATTAAGCATTGATTTATTTTTCATTTCTTTATAAAAAAATTCTAGATGAAAATTTGAGTATCCCATCATAAAATTAGGGCAAACATGGAAAAAAAGATTTTATGTAAAAACAAATAACCAAAATGCCCCTATAATTTTCTAGCGTATTCTGGTAATTTTTTGTCATCGAAAATATTTTTTTTTGCTTCTCTTTCAGTTCTATGCATGCCCCAAATTTTGCTTCAAAAGTATTTGTAGAATACTACAACCTGTCTAATCAAGATTTTATGGTTAAGTACTAGTTTGAAACATTGTGACTCAACCCATCTCAACCATCTACTCCGATCTGATGGCTGAAACCAGGGGTCACATAGAAAGCCCTCCCTGTATAAAATGCATATAGCATTTAAAGCGACACTGATGTTATGTGTCGATGTCTCCTTCGTTGCCAGTTTAGTTGCCAATACTCATTCACTTTCCAAATTCGACTACTAAAGCACTAGAATTATGGAGTAAATTGGTCAGGTCGGGGTTCGGACCAATGCACTAATGTGCTGTAAATGCGTCAACTAGGATCCCGGGTCCTCCCAAATCTGAACAAGCCGGTTCCAAGTCAATTGAACCATAGTGGATCATATCGGGTTAGGTTAAAGTCCTGAAATTAGAAAAGAAAAAAACATACCATATATTATGTACCAAATATGCAATATATTTTTCAATATATAAGTTATAGATAATTTATATATACTTGTATACATATACTAGTCAGGTCTAAATCAAGTTGATTCAGACCCAAACCCAGACCCAATATGATCCACTATGGTCCAAATCAAGTAGACCCATACCAAGACCTAGACTCAACTATACCCTAAAAAATCTACAGTAGTCTAAATCGACATACCCATAGGATTCAATACCTAGGTCCAAGTTTGGACCTAAGTCAGGTCGAGCACACCAGACCCTTTTCTTATGCCTAATCATTTAGTCACCTTTATTTGTTAAAGGAAAACATTTATATAAGATGTCAACTTTATACTGTAGAAGTAAAACTCACATAGGAAAGGGGCTATGTGGTAGCATCCCCACACGCAGAAAAGCATTGTGGTGTCCATTCCTACTGCTAACACTCCCAATTAGCACCAAAAATGTAACTCCCGAATCTATTGAAAAAATGAGTAGGGGCTTGTTTTCTCCATTGAATTACCCAAAAAAGAAGAAGAAGAAAAAAGAGTAAGACTCAAATAAAAAATTATCATAAAAAAAGCTTGTTATGATGTCAAAAACTACTATAATTTGATCATTTCGATCTCAAGATGTATGGATATGAAAAAAAAGGAAATATTTCAAATCCTAAAAATCATATATTTTAAAACACATTATCTAGATTGTCCATTTTCAAAAATTTCAAGTGTTTATAGATGTGCTCAATGTATACCATTTGGAACTTTAAATTTTTAAAGGTAAAAATAAATTTTTTAGACCACCGTAAAGTTTCTAGGACGGCAATTACTTCTTTTAGCAAAAGTTTAAACTACGTATCATTTTGATTGTTTAAGATTGTATACAAACTACACCCATCTTAGCACTTATTTTGCTGGGAAAAAGTTAGCACACAACTAAAGACAAAGTTCTATAAGGCTATTGCTTTCTATTTCTATTTCTATTTTATTTGAACAAGCTTGAAGCTTACGACGGAAATGATTATGAAAACATAAAAGCCATTTCTGGATTTTATTATTGGTTATTATCGTGCATCATTCTCTCTGGCTGTGCCTATGGAGTCATTTGAAGTGCCCACTAATGTTTTCCTTTTCCAGCTATTTTTTTTTATCGTGCATAGAATGCAGGATAAAATTTATGTTAAGTGTCAACCTTATGCTGTACCAGTAAGGTATACCGAAAAAACCGACTAGAGATGATTGTTTCATGCTAGAAAACCTCAAATAGATTATCTTCAAGCTCTCCGCTTATTTGAAACTATCTCGAGTTTGAAGGGGAGTATGAACGCAATCAGAAACTGTACATTCCAATGTGTGACCAGAACACACATAAAACTACATATTGCATAACGATAAATATACAAATTAGGTACTTATAAACTGCATGTATTACCATGTATACATTTTTTGTACATGCCACTTCAACTATATATATCATATGTACTGTAATACGAGTTCGATCATGGAACAGAATATGATTCCTTTACATCCTCGGCTTCAATCAAATACTGCAAAGCCCTAATCTTCTTGTCACGATCCCATTCCAATTGAACACTCACCCTGCCATCTTCCTCTTCATACCCAAACTCACACTCCCTCCCATCAATAGAACACCTCTTCGGCTTCTTTGAAGCATAAGCACACATCTCCCCTGTCCCCCTAACCCTCACTTCAGCCACCACCACACCATTTGCTTTCCCCCTCACTTCGGCCGCGTACACTGCACCCCCTGGATTATACATGTTCACGAGCCCAATAGCCGCAAAGCCCACGCCATTGAGTTCATGCAAAGGCGCAAAGGTCACAAGCTCAAAACCAAGAGGCCCCAACACCGATGGGCACTTTGTTGTCGGGGGCGCTCAATACGGTTAGCTTCTCGGCCAGGTGAGATAAAGCGATGAAGCTCTTCGAAGGTGCGTCTGTGCGCCACACATCGACGTCTGTGTAGCATGCAGTTGTTTGACGCTCCTGGGCTCGTTCTGGCGAGTGGCGTGCGCGCCTAAACCTGCGCTCCACTCTACACCACTCGCCTCCATCGCATGAAAAGGCTCCAACCACGCCTGTGCACCTGTTGAGGATCAAAACACCGAGAGTTCGTCATTTGCAGGGGTTTTTACGATAGAAATGTAAAGGGGCCAAAATATGTAACAACAAATTAACAGTGGACTCTGATGTAAGAAATAGCGGATGTAATAAGATCCGTTTTTTTTTTACCATTAAACACTCAAATATTTGAAGGAAAATTGTTTCATGCGGGCTGAACTGCATTCCTACGTACGTAATCCAAAAAGTGTAAAACATCTATTTTAAAAATGGATGCAAGTAGATGTTCCATCTAAAAACAATAGAAAATATGGTCCAAATATTTTCTTACTAGAATTGTTATTTATAATTTTTAAAATTTATTTATTTCTCATATTCATGATATCTATGTTAGAGATAGAGATTATAAAAATTAAGTCCAAATATCAATCTCAAAAATAGATTTATTAAAGGGCCCACATTTGTACATATACGTGCTTGGCCGTATAAAAACCAGGTCCTTATTTGAAAAGTGACGAAGAAAAGAGAATGCGTCTCGTTCTAAACAACTGACAAGAGGGGCTTTATAACGTTTGACACATTTCTTTGTAACCAATTCAATGTTTTCAAACTCTGCTATGTCCTCGGACTTGGGCTGCACCCGAGTAACTTGGCCGGCTCTTAGTACCCTAATGGGTTTTGAGAATCAGGTGTGGGTTGTGGTGGGTATCACTTCTAGCTTACTTACACCTCCATTTTTTTACCGACATTTCCATGGCTTCCATTCTTACTAACTTTTTTACAATTTATTTATTTATTTATTATTTTTTTTTGACTCTTTTTAATATGTATAGGGGCTTGTAATCCCTACTAATCTATTTTTAAAAAAAACTTATAGTACCTAAAAAAGTATATAAAATAAATAAAGTTTTTGCCAAAAGTAATAAAGAATACCAAAAGTAGAATGGCTAATCAAAATCATGGCCTATAAAAGTCAATAATAATAATAATAATAATTATTCATCATCATTCGTCAAAACTTTTTTTCCAATTAATTGAAATCGACTGAACAAATCATGATCCGCCATTATGCTTTACACGACCTCTGGCTTTACACGACCTCATAAAAGTGATTATTAAAAACTCCAATTTATAACTTTATATATTTAAAAAAAAATAGAAAGAAAATACAAAACTAAAAAATAAAAAGAGGAAAAATCCCAAATCATCATAAATATTATATAAATTATTGAAAAGTATATTTTTAAATATTTTATGGAGATCTTTTCACAAAATATAAAAGCTTTTAACAGAGGCGAGTCGGCCACAGATGCGCGCATCACCTTACCGCTACTCAGCCTAGCAGTCGAGTTTTGAAGACTGTTTCTAACGTTACCCGTCAATGCACAAAGGTGTTGTTAATAAGTAAGAAAATCTTGTCAAAAAAAGAGCCCGGGTTTAATCGGTCGGCAGCGCTACAAAGTTCAATTCCTACTAAGGGTAAAGGTCCTCTCCCCCACTGACTAACTCGAAAGAAATCTAAAAAAATCTTGTAAGTTTCTCAGGAGTGGGGACCTGTTGATGTTCCAAAGCTTGAGAGGCGGGCCGTGAGGGTGAAGAGGATTGATGAAGAGGCAGTCTCGTGTGGGCTGGGCATGGGCCACGCACCGCAAAAGAGTCGAGTCAGGCAACACCAGCTTCTTCAATAGCTCTAGGTCGTGCTGCCCCAAGCGGTCGCTTACGTAGATGGGCCCACCTGAGATGGCGCGTGCGGCCGCGTGGAAGTGGGCTCGCTGGTGAGTCGATAGAAACATGTCCCAGTCTGGGAGTACAACATGGCCCATCCAGACGCTATTGTAGGCGCAGTGAACAATATGGCACCCTTGCAGCCAGTATGAGCCCTCGGGATCACCGCATGGATCCTCCGTCCAAAAATCGTCGCCTAAATTACAACCACCATAAACCCAAACGATAAAATTTGTGAAAGGTTGTGTAACGGGGCGGCATTCTCTGGAAATACGAAGCTTTATATAGACTTTATGAGAATAAAATAAAGCTTCACCTTAAATCCTCATTTAGAAGACACTTTCGGCAATCGAAATCTCCATGACGCGCGAAATCAATTTCTAACACGACAATAAAATTTTAAACAAAAAAATAATACGGACCTTGCGGATATATGATACTTAAGTTTAGGGTAAAATAAACAGTCAAACATTATTTTTAAAGCTTAAAATCCTAATTGCGGATCGCTGAATACTTAATAACCGGTCAAACACTATTTTTAAAGCTTAAAATACTAACTTTTTTTTTAACAACCATGTTCCACCATAATATTCCAGTTTATTATTTTTAGTTTTTTTTTTCACAACCATGATGTTCCACCGTAATGTTCTAGTCATATCGATTAAAAAGTTGAATAGCTCTTTAGGAAATCCTGATGATCCTGTAGGTTGAGTAGTGAGGAATTGAAAAGGAAAAATCTCGTAAACTTATGCACATCGTTTGGAAAAGAAAACAACAAATCATATGAAACTTTTAGCTCTCCTGCAAGGTCTTAAACTTTATGTGGCTAAGAATTTAAGACCCGTATGTGCTGTTGAAGGTGACTCCTTGAATGTCATGGGGAGAAAAAAGTGCCATGGGTGTTGAGATCAACACTGATTCAAATTTTTGATCTCTCGTGATATTTTTTTCATCTCTTCTGTACATGTGCGTCGAGAAGCCAATGTATTGGCAAATAATCTTATAAAGGGTGGTATTTCTTTGACAGAGATGTCAGTGATTATGTAACATCGTAGTTATCTCTTAATAATATTTCTGAACTTCTATATTTAAAAAAAAAAATTGAATTGTAATTTTCGATGAGTTATAAGATAAAGCTTTACCGTTTTTTGATAGGGCGGGGTCAAACCATTTTCTTTCCGTTTAATTAATTTTGTAATGTTTTGAGGGTTTACCGGCTCGGGCGACAGCGATTTGGTTGGTTCCGAGTAAAAGAAAGTCGTTGCTGTTTTGCATGCTGCAACTGACGCCGTTGCCTTTGAAGTATTTGTTCGCAGCCGCGTTTAAAGCGGAGTAATATGCATTGGTGAGGTGGACCCTACCGCCCAGCTCTTCGCCTAGCGCCTCCAGAATCTACAACCCTCCCCCCATTTTACACCATTAGTGACGACCATCCCTTTTCTGGTAAGAAACAACGTTTAACGCAGAACTATTGCGTATTGCTGTATAAAAAAAGATTGCAGACCATGAGGCAATTTATCACCACCTCCAAATCGGCCCACTGTTAGGTGCTTTTAGTGTCGGACGACTCAACTTTCTAAGCTTTTGAGATATACTACACTTATTATAAATAAATATTACAATTAAAATTCTTACTATCTAACTACTATGATAAAATTTATGTAATACAATCAATTTTATTTATTGTTATTCGTATTTTGATGTATAGTATTTTTAAACAAAAATTCCTGAGATTAAGTTTGGCGTAATGGAATATTAATTCTATTCTAAAATATTTCATAGATAGAGATATTCAGTAGATTTTTATTCCTTTTTTATTTCATTTTTATTTTTCTAATTTTAGAATTAAATGATCAAATAAAAGATAAAGGATAATCTATTGAAAAATAAAATCAACTCAATTCTAAATAATAATAAATAAAATATGAAATATATAAAATTAATTACATTATGAAAATTATATTACAACAATTAAATAATAAGAAGTTAAATAATAATAATAATTAAGCTCGATTTTTCTAATACTAAAAACATAGGAAATTGAATTGTCCGGTTGAGTTTTCATGTATTCCTTGTTAGGTGTTGGTCGTACCAGATAAGAGCAGTGTCCAACTGCACGAACCGGCCTCGAAGCTTCGCCATGGGATGGGTCCGAGAACTGATCTTAGCCCGACAGGTCTCGATCGGGGGCTAAAAACCAGTTAAAAAAAATAACAAAATTCAAAAACTCTCAAAAATATATTTAAAGTGTAATTAAATAAAATACATCCAAATGAGATTAAAAAATTGAAGAAAAATAGATTTTGAAAAATCAATTTGTTCTAAGGGTATTTTAGAAGCAATTAAAAAATGAAAAAAATAAAAATAAATATTCATGATCAAAATACTTTCCAATATTTTTCGAAACAATAAACATTTTAAAAACCTATTACACACAAATCTTTTACTTTTTTAAATTTATTTTAAGTTAGAGTAATTTTAAACCGTTTTGATCGATTTGACCGGCCAAGCCACAGCCAATTGTAATAAGGCCGGTTGCAATTCAACCCTGCGTGGGTATAGAACACCGGACGAACATACCAAATGAGATGGATGAAAACTCGTAGGATTTACCACCTATATGGAAATGCCACATGCGTGAGAATTTTTAAAAAAAGAAAGAAAAAAAAAAAGAAAAAGAAAAATAGCCCACCGGTGGGGGTGATCTCGACTTTTATTTTATTTTATTTTATTTTTTTTTGGGAGAAAATATGACCGTTACCGTAATAAACGCTCTGAGAAGGTGAATGCGGTTGGGAAATGAATTATGTCACCTGAATAGCGTCCACCTTGACGCCGTCGATCCCCACTTGGCTGAGATACGAATACATGCCCTCATACAAATCTCTCACACTCTCGGAGGGGACCGCACCAATCCCACGGAGGACCATCTTACTCTCTGCACGATCCTCCATCGTCCCCTTCAGCCCCGGCGACCGCTTCACCGGCAAAATCCTCGCCGGAACACCACATTTTCCCGGCCTCACTCCACCCCAATACCCACACAGCGCGTGCCAAACGTAAACATAATCTAAATTCTCAAACCTCCCTTTCAAGTCCTTCACAAATCCACGAAACCCTCCCTCCCTCCTCTCGCCGGAAAAGTAGTTCTGGAACTTGACGTTCTCCTGAAATCCGGCTAACCGGCAAGCCATCTCGTTATCGGCACTAGCCAGTGACTCCGCCTCTTGATCTGGCTCTTGGTCGGTGGAGATTGATTGCCAACCATCGTCTATCACCAAGAAACCAGGTGGGCAACCGCCGCGTGTCAGTTCCTCCACACCTCGTAGTACACCTTCCGGCTCCACTGACAAGTAGAAAGCGTCCCACGTGCACCAACCGAACCGGTCGACGAATTCCGGCACGTTTTTGTCCTCTAGAAGCCGGAAATTACCCAATTTCCGGCGACTAAGTTCCCGCATTGATTCCTTCACCAAAAGGTAAGGATCACTTCCAGAGTTTATATATGCCGACCTCGGGAAGTCGTTGGAAATTACCGAGCTTGTCCCGCTTTCTACACAAATATCAACGTTGTCCTCGGTTCCAGCCTGAATAGAAGCTGCGAAACCGGCATCGATGAGGGGCAAGATAAGTAAATAGAGGCCACCGGATTCTGGCTTTTCCGGCGTGTTAAGAAGCAGGAATTGAGTTTCAATCTCCAGGTCCGAACCCTGGGTCCCCACCCAGAGTGTGGACCACCAAGCCTTAAACCTGAAAATGCTCGAGAAAGTGATGGACCTAAGCTTTCCAATGGATGCCACATGGCGACTGGCAGGAGCTTCCGCCGTGACGCCAAGGAAGTGGCCGGATAATGCAGAATTTCCGGCAGGCATGAGGGTTACGCTTTCGGGGACATCGAGCAAGACAGGGAGGTCGTTTAGGAAGAGCTTTTTGCCTGAAATTCGAATTGTGGGCTTAGAAGGTAGTTGGGTTTCATAAACTTCATTGCTTGGAGCGTCACCCATAGCAGCCTGCAAAAGGAATTCTTCGTCTCAAAGTTGAGATAAAGAAGACTCAAGAGGCCGAATATTTAAACTTGCAAGGATTTGGAGCTCCGAAATCATTTGGACTAAATACGTGTACAGCATTCTGGTCTTATGATTCTTAAAAGCTAAACGAAATGTGTTGCTCACAGGACGGTTGAGTGTCCGGAAAGTTGAACATATACTCATATAAGGTGGATATAGTGGCGGGTAATTTAGCAACGACACTTATAGGGTGCGCTTTGTATGGAGCCTACGCTCTAAACAATGAAATTAGAGCCCACCTTGTCGGAAAATGTGGTTTACTGGAAAAGAAATATTTTGTGATAGCTTTAAATTTTGAAAAATTGAAGGTCTAAAAGTATGCCATAAAATATATTAATTTCATAATTTAAAATCTATGTGTTTTTCATTCTCATACATCTTGATATTGAGATGATTCTTGGGCATCAAAGAAATTTTTGAGGTAGACTTTAATTCGATGGTTTATAGCCTTAGCTCTATATAAATTTTTCTCACATTTTATTAAATTTTTCTCATATTTTGTATATTCTGTCAAGTAAAGAGAAAAAAAATTACAAAAGAACGCTAAGACTATAAAGTTACCCAATCTAAATTTTTTTTTTCTCCAACATATATTTTCTATACAAATATCTCATTAAAAAAATGTCTAAGTACCGAAATAGGGCTCCATCACTATGTAAGTACAGTTTGGTAGTAGGGCTCTAGTACTATGTAAAATGCGACTCTGACACTGTGTAAAGAGAGGTTTGAAAATTGCAAAAGGCGGTCCAACATATGTTACTGGATTCTAAGGCTCAGACACCATGTAACAAGCACAATACTCAGTTACAATCCGATAGTTGTCTTAGAGCGGTTCAAGACTTATGCCCTTTGACAATGTGATGGTGGACTCTGTCAATATCCTACTGGGTTTAAAAATCAACATCAAACCTTATCAAAATGATTTTTATATACGAAAAATATATTTTGGTAAAAAAAAAATTTGAATTTTTTTTTTTTAAAGAATTTACATAAAAATTTTATTTTTGAAAAAAAATAAGAGAGAGAGTTACATAGGGTAAATTGTATAGAAAGTGTGAGAAATTTATTTTTATAATTTTTTAAAAATCTATTGCCACGTAGTGAATGGATGGCATGCACAACAGAAAACTGTACACTGCCACGTGGTATAATGGATGACATGCACAACCGCTGTACTTCACACTTTTTATCCTCTCCGTTTCCAGGAAGGTGCTGGAACAAGGGTTGTCCTGGGGTTGTTACGAAGGGCCGCTATGTGAAAGCGCGTGAACATTGACGTTGGACACGTACCACCGTCCAACTAATATAATTCTTCGAGCCTTTCATTTTAAACGTTCGAACGTGTATAATTACGATATTTTGCAGTGACACATGGCACGTGTAATGGTCGCGGCAGCAGCACACCCACCAATTGGCATTGGCGGAGACTCCGGCGTTTGCTAGGCTTGAGAATCCTATGTCAGATTCGCCGAGCCGCGTGGAAGGGGTTCATTAATGTCCCAACAAACACTTTTCTAATGATTCCCGAAAGAAATTTACATATGGACCACTATTACAAAAGAAAAAAAAAGGTTTATATAAAGTTGTAATTTTAAAATGTAAAATTACAGATATAT